AATGATATTTCCTTCAAGAATTATTTATTTAACAATTCAATCGAGTGGAAATTCATTCCTCCTCGGGCACCAAATTTTGGTGGAATATGGGAGGCAGCAATAAAATCTGCCAAATTTCATATGAAAAGAATATTATCTAGAGTACCTCTAACTTATGAAGAATTGTATACTGTACTGACTCAGGTGGAGGCAATGCTCAATTCGAGACCATTGGCACCGCTTACTAGTGATCCGAATGATTTAGCTGCTCTGTGTCCGAGCCATTTCTTGATTGGGGAAATGTTGACTTCTGTTCCACAAGAGGATGTATGCATTATACCAGAAAATCGACTTAATCACTATCAGAAGCTTCAACAGCTTACCCAGCACTTCTGGAAACGTTGGTCGTCAGAATACCTCTGCCATCTGCAGCAGAGAACAAAGTGGAGACGTTTATCTGAGCAGGTGCAGATTGGTCAGTTAGTTTTGATAAAGGAAGACTTCGTGCAGCCATTGTTATGGAAATTGGCGCGCATTATTGAAATTCATCCCGGCATGGACGATGTTGTTCGGGTTGTGACACTGAAGACACAAGAGGGTACCTTGAAACGTCCAGTCAACAAGATATGTGTATTGCCCTTAGAAGAATGTACCACATGATTCATTGTCTGTTATATTTGTAATGTAATTATTTATTTAGTATTTTGAAAGTTATAATCTTTCAAGGGGGCGGCATGTTTGGCTGAATTGGCTGAATTGGCTGAATTCCTAGCCTCGCTACGCTCGGCTATGAATTCAGCCTCGGCAGTCAATCTACTACTTTGCTGCCTAGTTAAACAAATAACTATTGTATTGCTATATATATGTGTCATGTTTTACTTCAAGATTACTAATTAGGGTGATTGTCATGATAAGTTTTGTATCATCTGTTTTTACTTTCGGAAAATAAACATTTTCTTCGTGAAGTTGAATAATTATTATTATTATATGTATATCCCACGAATATCACAGGTACGGCGACCACATCCTCGATGTCGCAGTGTGATGTATTTGTAATATGAAATGTACACTTGTATGTGACCTGGTAGTGATTTTTCATGTCATGTCGCATTTCATATCTGAACGACGTCACAGTGATGTTGCTTGAGTCGGACATTTTCACATCGCCGCGTTGTATCGGTAACATGTTTGTGACTTCAAATGCGATATCGCATGTCACAAAGTGATGTGGCGTATACATCACTTATACATCTCATGGTTGGCTGGGTTGTTTCCTGTTCAGTTGGTAAAGATTACCATGCCCAATAAACACAGCTACGTGGAAAAAACGTTGAATTGTTCAAGTAACGCCTCTATTATTCATCGTTAAAAAAACGGCAAAATGTCGTTAGGCAATACGTTTTATTCTGGTTCTACAGTAACGTTACCTCTTCACGTTGATTCATGGTAACTAAGACGTTGCACACGTAGCACACGTAATGTGAATTCTACTGATATATACCGTTTTATTTCAGTTCCGACGTAACCATTCAAATCAACAGTTTCTTAACGTTTTCTATACGTTTTCAACCGATTTAAATATAACGATGTATTTTGGTTTCAAACTTGGTTTCAAAGTAACGTTGCTGAGATACGAATTCTGAACGTTGATGTTAACTCTTAAATCAAACTTGAAATTGCAGAATTCAAGTAACGTTATTGATCTTCTAGATTGAATCAACGATGATTTATCTTATCGTCGAATCGATATCACTACCAATTTTAAACGTAACTAAAACGTTTCTGAGACATGAAGTGAAGTAACGTTTCCATTTTCACTACGGACCAATCTCTATTATCATCGCAAATTAATTAAAAATAATAAAAATAACCAAAATACAAATACAAGATTCATAATGTGTATAGTCCTAGATCCTATATATCAATGGAATCTCAATCAGATAGGTATCACTATTTTGTTTTCGACTCGAGACTTGATGGCGTCATTCATCCGTTTCTTCGCAAACTTCAACCAGACCTTGGTTGCATCTGCAATATGGACATCAGTTGCTGCTTCAAACTTCCTTTCGACAGCAACTGCATAAATTATTCAATATGAATATTATGAAAAACGAAAAAAGAAATTTACATACCATAAATTAGTTCGATCACCTTTGTGTCCTTGAGTGCAGCCACTTTTCCTTCGCCTTTTTATTTGTAAAGACGAACTAGCTCATTGGTTCACAAAATCCTCCATGTATGTTCCTCTGGAGAATTGCCAGCAATTGACTTCAATTTTGTTATCTGAAATTTCGGCTCATTTGTGATCGAAACAAATTCTGGAGAATCAATGATAATTATTTATGAAATGTCTGTCTCATCATTCCTATCAATGTTCCAGAATATTGAGTACCGGTTTTCAACCATTTTCCAACCTTTATTTCATCAACGCATTCAAAAAGTGTTTCATCTACCTTCTATACACGTTTCATCACCGTTATAAGAGGTGGTTAGACAAAACGACTCCAATAATGAGATGTGATTTTTCTCGACCGAGAATTTATAACTATGAAATATAATTATAACTCCATAATATAAATTTGTGCAAGTTGGACTAAGTACCTACTGCATGAGAGTTTGTGAACCTTCCGACATGACATAATCGAATAAGTAGGTATAACTTTTGATAGGTGAATGTACTCATTTTGCTGTAAATTGAGCATCTTTGCAATCGTCTTCAAGAGATGACCATTGGAAATATTCGGAATTTGCACAATACATAGGTAGAATTCAATAATAAAGTGAGTACTTACCAATCACATATCTTCTCACATCCATGCATAACCTCTGAAGAAGCACAATGAACTGTTAACCTTAATGGCGTCAGACGAACTGTGAGCATTCTGGCGAGTGGCGGTGGCGGACTGCCGATAGGTCAGGTTCATTCAATACGAATACTTTTGAATAATTCATCCAACGGATCGAACACGTATTTTCAGAACGTTTAATAAACGTTAAAAAAGTTGTAATTATAGAACGTGGTATTGAGGTCGCTCGAAGATATAGTTGTTATTCAATAATTCATTGAACGGATCGTACACGTAATTTCATAACGTTTAATGAACGTGAAGAAAAAAGTGCATGAAACGTGGAATAACGGTTTCTTGAAGATATAGTTGCTATGGAATAATTCATTCGCCGTATCATACACGTAATTTCAAAATGTTTAATGAACGTAAAAAAGTATCTATCAATTCAAAACTGGAACATTATAGGTTGCCCGAAGATGAAGTTTTTATTGAATAATTCATTGAACGGATCATTCACGTAATTTCATAACGTTTAATAAACGCGAAGAAAGTAGTGATTGAAACGGGGAATAAAGGTTGCTCAAAGATATAGTTGCTATTGAAAAATTATTCAACGGGTCATACACGTGATCTCAAAACGTTTAATGAACGTGAAACAGAGTAGTAATTGAAACGTGAAATATAGGTTGCTTCAAAATATAGTTGTTATTGAATGATTGATTCAACAGACTTTATACGTGATTTTGGAACGTTGAATGAACGTAAAAAAAAATACAAAATTGAAACGTGATAAAGAGGTTGCTCAGGTTGCAAACAATGTCATACTCTACGTTATTTCGATATTCTATGAACCTCATTGAATATACGTTGAGGAATCACGATAATGACACGTTGCATACTGGTGGCTATATAGACGAGTTGAATCATTATCGTTTATTATAAGTTGAATCAACGTTTGGTTGAATTTACGTTACGAAAGTAACGTTGCGAAATTCAACGAGTAACGTTTAATCAACATCCACTACTTTATATAAACGTATCTTACACGTGTGTGTGTTTATTGGGTGACCAGTTGGAATGTACCGTTAAATTCAGTTTTTCCGTAAAATACTTAGTTGAAAATAAAAAAATATTAGATTGTTTTATTAGGATCAAAAGTGACACTTCAAATACTGTCTGTAGGTCAATCGAGGAGGTGGTATATTCATTTTACTAAATTTTTTGGGATTTTCTCTTCTTGTTTCTATAAAATGAAAATATTCTCATTATTTCAATATATTGGTAGTGGGACAAATCAGATGATTTGCCCCAAAATGTCACTGCGTTCAACACATTTTTTTCTCAGGGAGTCTTTAAGAAAAATCCAGTAGCTTGTCAGTGACACTTTGTTTGAAAAAATGTTCGAAGGACAGAAATATAGATATATTGAAAAAATATCGAATTTTTACTTATTTCTGGACGTTTCGGGAACGAATCTGCTCCCGTTCTCAACATAAAAATGCAAAATATTTTTCATTGGAAGTTATATGCTCTGCTTAAACAGGAAGCAACGCTATTGTCTCCGTTCAGAAGAATGTAAGCGGATTCCTCGATTTTTCTTTCTCGGTTATCTTCCTTTGTCATGATTTTGATATTATTCCACTCTGCCATATGTTGTTCATCTTCGGTAAGGATATGTTCAGTTAGCTTCGATTTATCGATATGTCTTTTCTTGACCTTATGACCCAATCACCAATCAAGTACAATGACGTCACCATGCAACCTCAGCTAGTTTGTCATGTAATTGTCAATCATAAAAAAAAATCGGGGCTCTGATTGAAACTAACTTATTAGATACTGACATGCTGAGATCCTTAAAAAATCAATATGAACCAAGATGGTGGAAGTATTCTTCACAATCCTAAGTAGGCCATAATGAGGGCAAACACCACTTGAAAGGTATATTTTTTCAAGCAAAAAACCAACTCACAAAATACATTATTTATAGCTACTGATAATTTGGGACCAATAAACAAGAAAACCCTGTGACTTTTGTATCATCTACCATAAAATACTTCACAGCATTTTTTTGTATTTCATCATTTGAATACTTGAAAGGTTTGGAGAAAATATTTTCAGTTACTCGCGCCCAGCGAGCAGCGAGCGAGGCGCAATATGGTGCTATGGCTAGACTCTAGTTGAATAATCAAGGATGAGAGTGATGATTAATTATCAAGAAAGCTATATCCTTACCTGGATAACCGTTCCTGTGGCGTTAGTATTGTTGGCCCTGGCGAAGCTCTCCAATCTTCCTTTATCACATTTGAAGCAATACAAACTCCAGTCTGGTTCGCCGGTAACGCAGACGATATATTTCGAATCGAAAGTGAATTCCACCGTCACATACCTATACGGAAGCACTTTATTTTCATTGTGAAGATTTTTTCCATCATAATTACTTTTTTCCACCACTAGCTATTAAACCTATCATTATTTACTTCTGTTCGAGACGTAATAGTTATTTATGTATCAAGGGCGTAAAATAGGCTTTTATGGACCGCAGCGTGTAAGTAATAGACCGAGCGATAGCGAGGGCTATTAACACGCCTAGGTCCATGAAAGCTAGATACGCCCGAAATACATACAACATTTTATGCACGACCTGTATATATTTGATATCTCATGAAGGTATCTCTTCACCCCTCAAGCACAATAAAAATACATCACGCTTGCAGTGAGACTGTATTGTATCCATATGGCAAATACAATCAATCAAGAAGTATGGAATCAACGTTACCATGGCAACTCAGTCAATTTTTCGAAATTATTAACTGTCAATTTGTGTAATCATACATAAGTCATTAGTGATTTCAAAATGAATTCTAGTGATGAAGAAAGTGTGAATTGTACTCCACCAGATATTAGTGAGGCAGCTGAGGAAGCAAAATCGAGTTTATTGCCAAGTAAATAAAAAAAAAATATACGACAAAGTATACGAAGAATTCGTAAGCTGGTGCGACAGAAATGATGTAAAAAATGAGAACTACACTGAAAGTGTGCTTCTTGACTATTTTCTGGAAAAATCAAAATCTCGTAAGCCCTCTTCCATGTGGTCATATTATTCCATGTTGAAAGCTACTTTGAATGTACATGATAATAGAGATATTAGTAAATATGCAAGATTGATAGCTTTTTTGAAAAGAAAATCTGACGGTTATAAACCAAAGAAATCGAAGATTCTAAGCAGAGAAGAAATAGAGTTATTCTTGAGTGAAGCACCAGACAATTCGTACCTTATGGTGAAAGTAAGTACTATTTTCATGCTTTCAAGTATGATAATTTGAAACTTTGTTGTAGGTAGCACTGATTTTTGGTATTTGTGGAGCGCATGTCACAGACAGGATTTGGCAAATATCACAGTAGATGACATTCAAGATTTCGATAGTTTCTTACTCATAACTATAAGAGGAACCAAATCGAAGATAGATCGAGTATTTACTGTCATCGATAAAGAACAGAAATCGCCAAGTTATCTAGATACTTACAGAAAATATTGTTCCTTGCGAGTTCAGAATTATGATCAAAAGCGATTTTTTTTGTATTATAATAATGGCAAGTGTTCGAGACAGGCCATCGGAAAAAATACATTCGGTCAAATACCATTTAGAATAGCAACTTATCTAGGTCTTCCTAATGCAAAAGAATATACTGGTCACTGCTTCAGACGTTCTTCAGCAACTATGTTAGCAGACGTCCTGAGAATATCCTTTCATCGTACTTGGTACATCCCAGGGACGTACCAGAAGGACATCCCTTGGATGCCTTTTTTTGTGGCCAGCGGATGTCCCTGGGACATCCTTAGTATGTACGTTATCCCGACAAAAGACATACCTGGGATGTCCTAGTATAAAATCAGGGACGTCCCTGGGAAGTCCCTAGGATGTACTGGTGTTGTTAGGGATTGAGAGTCATTGAAATGAGTCATTCTAAGAGTGTGTGATATCAATGTGCTTACATACATACCGATTTGCTATGATATCTTTGTCCACCGGTAGATTGAGCGTTTTCTTCTTTCGGAACAGCAAAGGACACCACAATGTGACTATCGGGTACTTGTCTGTTGTTTCGACCACCGCTATCAATTTTCTGTAAGATACAAGTTTCTCATTTCCACACTGAGGAAAATTCCTATTAACCATAGTCAAAAATAGAATAACCCCAGCAAGATACTCTAATAGCATAAGAGACACGCGAGTTATCACCTGTGATTATGAAGTCGACTTTGCTGATTATAACCCACTTGCGACTATTAGATATAGAATTTTGCTGCCACTAGCGAGTGCATATGTATATTGCTATTAGACGATGTATCTGTAATAGGTATCTGACTTTGCTACCGCTAGTGAGTGCACCTAATAATGGGAGTAGGGCAATGTTATAATCCTAGCTAGGTACTCTTGATGGGTGATCATATAGATAGTTGCATGACCTTCTTACTGTAGTTATCCAGTTATTTTCCAGGATTGTTGTCATCAAAAAAGATGAAATTTTGACTGATATCCAATTTCACTTCCCATAATTTCCACCCTGATGTTTGGTATGTAGCTTAGAACCAGGAGAAGATTATCGGATAATTTTTATCCCGGTACCATTAGGAAATTCAAGATGACATCCATTGGACGTCCATTTTAGGTCCATTTCAATTCCATGGACATAGAATGGACATCCAATGTACGTACAAATGTGGATTATCATTGGATGCTTCAAATTGTATGTACAGTGGGCGTCCACTCAATGTCCAACCACGCATGTACGTAGAATTTACATTCATTGTACTTATAAAGGTGGATGTACAATGTATGTTCAAAATTAACGTCCGTTGAAAATCCATTTTATGTCAACTCAAGGACTAAAACTCTCGTGGACGTTTGATCAACATCCATTGTACGTACAGAGACGGACGTACATTGGATGATACAAATTATTCTTACATTGGATGTCCATTTAACGGCCATTCTGAGTTCAAGCGTTCATGGATGAAGAATGAACATTATATTTATATGTATATAAATAACTGTTCAAAGTATATTATTATGTTTGTCTATATGAAATCATTTTTAATCTGAAGGTTTATAGCCGTTGAATGAACGTACATTGTACGTTCAGAGATGGACGTAAGACTATTGATTTTTCAACCACGTGGTGGGGAGGCAGAAGGTCAGATTGGTCGGTAGAGTAGCGGTAGCGTCTGGCGTGATTCTGATGCCATTTTCAGTTGGTAAATGACCGTGAACATGATGTGTTGTATTTGTGATGAATTGTGGAATGCAGAATATTTAGGACCAGATCATTCAAAGTAAGTATGAAAGCATGCATGTTCGAATAATGTGACTTCATATACTATCTAATATAGTTATAATCTTATGCTTTATCATCCTACAGGTAGTTATTTATTTTTAATGGGCGCGGTTTGGTAGAAGGAGTACCTAAGTATATAGCAATGTAAATAAGGCTTCATTCACCAGAGTTAAGCTGAACAGGATTTGGGGTACAGACAATCGATTTCTACCTATATAGCAACTTTTATAATATTTCTCTTCTTTTACAGAAACAAGAATTCAAAGTGGACTGAAGAAGACATGAATCAACAATATATTTATATATATGCAATCGACACCAAATATATATCTCAATAGAAGAATCTATATTTGTTACCTACTGATTTTTCATCATTTGATTCCCAAAGAAGGACGACGTCCAATGGACATTCTTTATGTATGTCTATTGGACATCCAAAACGTACGTACATAAGATGTTATATCTGGACATTCATTGGACGTATATAAACTACATGTACTACGTCCAATGGACGTTTTTGATGTACGTCCACTGGACATCCATGACGTACGTACATAAGAAGTTATATCCAGTGTATCTGGACGTTTATTGGACTTATATCGGACCTTTATGGACCTAATTGGACGTCCACTGGACGTCCATGAGGTCCATGATGTACATCTAATGGACACACATGAGACGAACATGTGCTATGTGGGAAACTGGATTTGGGGTATAGACAATCGATTTCTACCTATATAGCAACTTATAATATTTCTCTTTTTTTACAGAAACAAGAATTTGAAGTTGACTGAAGAAGACATGATTCAACAATATATTTATATATATGCAATCGACACCAAATATATATCTCAATAGAAGAAGCTATATTTGTAACCTACTGATTTTTCATCATTTGATTCCCAAAGATGAGCATCCATTATACACCCACATGTAAACATCCAATGTACGTCCAAAGTGGTGTCCTCTAGACATCCAGTAGACTTTCATTGGACGTTCAACGTCCAATTTGGTACGTCCAATGGATGCTCAGACATCTACATCCATTGTGAGTTCAAATATGAACATCCATTAGACATCCAAATGAAGGACATCCCTTGGACGTCCATAGAATATTGAACGTCCACTCGAGTACTTCCATTGGACGTCCTTACGATCCGACGTGAACGTACATTGTACGTACATTGGACATGCATGTGCTGTGTGGGATATCGGACGAATTTTGTAATTATGGTCCGATTTTATTCAAAATTCGTATCTGGTGGTTTTCGTGGTCGGAGATTATGATATTCGTCAGAATTTGAAAATTCCGGCGGATCCAAAATGGAGGATTTCGTAATTAGGATCCGATTTTATTCAAATTTATTATCTGGTGGTTCTCAGGGTCGGATATCATGATTCTTTCGTCAAAATCAAGGAATTCAAGATGGCGGATCCAATATGCCGGACGAGTATTGTAATTATGATCCGACTCTCTTCAAAATTTTTATCTGGGTGTTTTTGGGGGTCGGAGATTATGATTCTTTTGTCAAAATTCGGAAAGGGCGGGATTTGGGAATTCAAGACGGTGGAACCAAATATACCGGATATCATGTAGATATCATGTGGATATCATGTGGAATATTTTCCCCAGAACAGGTGAGGATTATTTGACTTTCATTATCTGAATGCTTGTCTGACGTTCCTTTTTGTCTTTCTTATTGTGGTACTTCCTGCGAGACTTCCTGTGAACGAATAATTTTTTTCACTTTATGTGGTTATTGTTGATGACACATAGATGAAAAAGCCAAAGTCATCACAACTTTTATTGAAATGATCAAAGATCATTGAAGATACATGTTTTGGGCTCATATAAGCCCATCATCAGCTTCAAAGTTCTAGCAAAACCGATATTGACTAAGGATATAAATGCAATGATTACACCTTTACATGGAAGTGGAAAAAGTTGAAATTCAAATAACTAACTAGACAGTTACAGAGACAAAGGCAAATGCTCCATGATCTGCAAACAAACAGTAAATGAACTTGTAGAAGAAAGTTGATAGGAAAATCTCACTGTTAAAATCATGTTTGTTTACAAGGGCCGGTTGCATAAAAGCTCATCAATTATTTGATGTCACTTCAAATATATGATGCGACGTTATAAATGGAATTCGGTTGCATGAAAGGCCCATCATGTACTTGATGGCATGGTGACTTGATCATCTAGTTAACTTATGATAATGACTATTTAACTAAAAAAAAAATCGGTTGCACAAAGGCCAATCAACTTCAGATGTCACATCAAATTGACTTATTCATGGCATCAACTTAATCAGTGCTCGACCACTGATTGAAGTGACAATCAGCAAATGACTTGTGAAAGTTCCGCCAAATTATTTAAAATATTTCGCAGAATTTTTGCAGAATCTGAAAAAAAAACGTTGGAGTTCCTAGTTCTTGTTTCATTTCAAAAAGGTAGAGTAGGTAAATGAACACAATAATGTAAGTGAATGACTCATCGTCTTTACTATCTGAAGAAGAACTACTGATTCCCAGGCCAAGAACCATTCGAAATAGAAACAATCCATTCGAAATGTATGATACGACAATGATTTCAATACCCGATTCAGGTTTTCTGTAACTTTTGTCAATCTGAATGAAAATAGGTCGCGTGCACGATGGCCTACCCTGGAGGTAAAATATTGGGACACAACCTCACTTTTTTTATTCGTAATCAAAGGATTGAAATAGTTTTTCACAATATTTTGGCATACGAATCGTGTTTTTTGTTTTTTGGGCTATTTATCAATTCAAGCATGCCTTCTCATTGTGGTGAGCCAGAAAGGGGGCGAAGGGTTCAGTGATTGGCCCAGAGCCAATCTTAGGGGTCACTCGATCCTGGAGCAACTTCAAGATGAAGGAAATCCTGACGGAAAGGTTTCAGGACAGCTGGAGAAAGGCTCCTCAAATGAGGCAGTCCAAACTCCATATAGGAAACCCGTCACGAAGACAGACCAATGCCCTCTTGGCTTTGAACAGGAAGGAGCTGAAACTGGTGGTGGGCCTTCTGACAGGGCACTGCCACCTGAACAAACATCTCAGCATGATCGGGATTGTGGAGGATCCTGAATGCAGATGGTGCCTAGAGGATGAAGAGACTTCTACTCACATCCTCACTGAATGCCCGGCAATAGTGGCAGCAAGGGATATCCATTTTGGGAGCAGTATCCTGGACCCAGAGGATGTTAAGAAGATTTGGCCTAGGAAGTTGGTCTCTTTTGCTCGCGAGATCGGCCTTCTCCATGGCTGACTTGCGATCCCAGGAATGTGGGTGCACAATGGGCCCGAAAATGGAGGCCTAAGTGCGTCAGGTCCCGGACCGCCCACACACATACATACATGAAATGTGGTGTTTTCTCTTCATTGAGGTGGTTGAAATCCTTTATGGACACCATATGGGTCCAATTCCCCATATGATAGTGTGGGAGTCCCCTGACTCCAGGTATACCCACTAAACACTCCACCCCGTTTGTAGGCTCGTCTGACCGAAGTCTCCGACGACACTTAGGCGTAGTGGCCCATTGTATCTTACCTACATGCCGTTATCAATTTTACCATATACGACTCATGGTTCTTATTAAGGGCCATTTCAATATGGAAGACCCTTTTCGTTCAGGTTCTTGAACTCTTCCGATCCCTGTTCTCGTCTACGAAGAAGGCCAAAAGTTTTCCTTCTCCTACGAGTGACGGGGGAAGGGGCTGGTCCAGCCCTGTGGTGCCCCCTGCACAAGGCTAAGGCTACTTACTCTGAGATGTCGCCCTGTTTCCCAGAGGCCCCGTTAGCGACACCATACCTCGGTGCTATTCATCAATCACCACGGGTTTCCACAGCTTGGATTAGGTTTCCAGGGCCTCGTTGACCAGTCCTCGGCCACCTAGACAGACATCAGCAAATCGCTCCATTTGGCCCGGAGATAGCAGAGATGGTCCCAAAATGCTTCATCCGTCGAGCGGCCGCGGTCTGTCCTTCCCACACCACTTGATGGTGAGGTTGGGCTTGGAGGGGAGGAGGAAAAGAGAAGTTGGCCAAGAAAGGCCGATAGATAGATTGAAAAAGGAAGAGAGAAGAGGATATCACTCAAGACAAGTTGAAGTATGGTGAATATCCGGCTAGGGTACCTCGGGTTCACCATTACCGTACTCACAAGTTGTGAGCCCCTGAGGGCCATTGTGCTGTTGTACAATGCACAAAAAATGCAGCGAGAGACGAAGGAATACAATTTTTCAGGTAAATAATAATCTCACATAGTTTTCATTATAAAATTTTGTCATTTCTTATTAAAATTCCTTCTGCCACTTCTGCAATAGAAGCTGATACTGGTGAAGATTGGAAATGTCTACAACACACATATCATATTTCGTCAGCATGTCAGACCAGTCCTCCCGTTTGATTGCATGAATCCAATCTTCTTGCATTCTATTAGAAATTTCACGAGTTTTTCTATAAGCTCCTATTGCAGATGGAATTCCGATGAGAAATCAGAGAAATTACCAAATTTCAACATGGAAACTATATGTGAGTGACTATAGTAGGTACTTCGAGGAGTAAATACATGGGGCAATCCGGTGTACAACTTAGGGGTATTGCGGGGCAATGCGAGGCAGTGTGGGGCATTGCGAGGCAATGCGAGGCATTGTCGGGCACTGCAGGGTATTGATGGGCATTGCAAGGTATTGTGAGGCATTGTTAGGCAATGCGGGTTTGGGCTTGATTTGTTGCGCGCGCATCCATTTCTGTTCGAGGTCACTATATTCATTTCTATGGTCCAAGGTGATGCCTCCGCCTACATTTCGATTGCGCCATTCAAGTGTTTCGCATCGCGTCATGCTGTCATCAACTCCGGCTACAGCTAGCTTTGGATTGGATTGGAATTGGATTCAACCGAATATTCGAGTAAAAACTACAATATAGATGAGAAAAGTCCATATGTGAAAGTCACTTTGGGAAATTATAAAATGATTATAATAAAAAAAAATCATTATTATGCTGGCTTCTGAATGAGGGGTAGGGACGGATCAGTAACGATCGCATACAGCGTTTCAATTCTATATCCTAGATCTGTCCAAAAAATGAAGTCGAAAATACCTGCTGATTGAATTGAAACTAAGAAAGAGAAAACTGAATGTATCGGAGATTCTTCAGAGGAAGAAAATTAACCAGACGATTCCACAGATGTGGAGTCATTCTACTCTTTGAGAGAAGATCGAAAAGAAGATAGGATGATGAAAAAACTTGACGTTTTCGATCCTGGATTAGATAAATAGATAATTTCTATGCAGTGGTATTTGATAAAAACTGGTATCTGGGACTGGTAATGAAAAAGAACCAAGACAGATTTGGAATAAGGTTTTTAGATAACATTCCAACAAGTGGCCAGAAAAATCAGGAATTGAAAATTCTATACCAAAAGAATGTATTTTTTACGGACCACTTGTACTTGGGAAAAATTATCCGTTTCTCCTGAAAAGAGCGGATAAAGTGAACATTTCGAATCTTTATTTGGAGTCGAAAAAAAATTTCGAATTTTAAAAACATACTCAAGTTGACTAATGTGATATCCAGTGTGAAATGCTTTAACAAAATATATATTCAGGTTCAACCTGTTTTTGGTTCAAGAAAATCTCAACTTTGTTTTAGTTTCAAGAAAGAATTCAGAGTTTGCGTTTTTTTAATAACTATAAACTTTAAAAAATGTTTAATTTTAGTCGAGATTTTAGTACTGTTACCTATAATATCTGGACTTATATGCCCAGTGTTCCTGTTACCAAACTATGATACTGTGATACTGTCTAAAGAAGTACCTTTAACTACTTAGTTATCAAGTATAGGACAAAAAAATGTTCGTCTAAGTTGTTTGGTTTCCTAATGAAATATGTATAATTATTCATTATTCCTCGTCCCATCAGATGATTAATTCACTATGACATTAAAATGAATGTGAACTATGTAAAAGACATTGGTTACTTTTCACATTTCAATATAGTCTGTCTCTCTTCAACACATGGAATGAAAAGAGATAGTTATATAGTGCACTAGGGGCAATGTTGGGCATTGGGGGGCAATGTAGGGCAATGCGGGGTATTGATGACTATGAAAAATGGGCATTGCAGGGTAATTTCGGTGAATTGAGGCATTCATGACCCTCTGGTGTACAAAAAATGGCTAAGTACTTACCCCTCGAGGTACTTACTTTCAAATCATAATGTACCAACCAGATTCCTTCGTCTCTCGCTGCATTTTTTGTGCATTGTACAACAGCACAATGTGATGGCATGGGCGAATTAATGAATAGCCGAGAAGCACGATTTGTATGCCAAAATAATTGTGAAAAACCATTTCAATCATTTGTGAATAAAAGAGGAGGGTGAGGTTGTGTTTCAATGTTTCACCTCCAGGGTCGGTCATTTGACAGTTCTTGCACGCAACCCATTTGAGTGAATATCATCTTTGCTATCATGGTCGGTACGTAATTTCAAACATATCGAAAGATACAACGAATTATCAAATGAGTTCCCGGCTTCACTAGGAGTTCCTCAGGAATCTGTTTTAGGGCCGTTATTGTTCTTACTATTTGTAAATGACTTACCTACTTTTATCAGTGAAGGTATAGTTACTATGTTTGCAGACGATACAACGATAACGGTCGCGAGCAGGTCTATAGAGGAAATGCAAACAAAGATCGAGAAAATATGTAAGGAAATGGAAATTTGGTGTAACGAAAACTCTTCAATTCTCAACAAAGAGAAAACAGTTTGTGTGAATTTTCACCTTCATAAAACGTTGCCAAATTTGATCAAAGAAAAGTTTCTTTCCCTTTTACAACACATGCTAAACTTTTAGGTACTTGGCTCGACTCTGATTTGAGCTTTGATCATCATATCAATCATGTATGCGATAAACTTGATAAAGCTTTCTATGGAATTTTACAAATGAAATCTTATCTCAACAAAGAAACTCTAATGAACCTTTACTATGCATTTGCTTACTGTCATCTTTCATACAATATAATATCTTGGGGAAGTGCTAATGATTTCAACAGAGTTTTAGTATCGCAATGGAGAATAGTAAGACTGATTTTCGATTTGGAATATCGTGCAAGTTGTCGAGAAATATTAAAAAAATATGGAATATCAACAGTACCATCTATTTACATCATGAAGTGTGTCAATTTTACCAGAGAATGCCTAATCAACTTCCAACAACAGTCTGATATCCATGATTACAACACAAGAACCAAAAGCCTCCGAGTACCTACTTACAAAACAAGTACCTTTCGAAAATCTCCCGTTTACAATTGCATCATCTTCTATAATGCTCTACCAGATGACATCAAATCCAAACCCACCTACAGTTCATTTAAGAATGGCGTGAAAACATTTTTCCAACAAAAGTCTTTTTATTCTGTGAAAGAATTTTTTGATAAAAGCCAAACAGCACGTGTTCAGTTTTACTCAATGATCTTTTTAATTCATAATAGTTCCACACACTTTTTATATTTTCATATTATATAGTTTTTTTTCAATGTAGTATTTGTGTATGAAACAATGTTCCTATTTGTGACTTACCTTTTGTACCTTGTATGTTTATCAAGGTGAATAAATTTTCATTTCATTTCATTACAGTACTTTCCAACTGGAAGTTATCACACCATCTGAATGTCCATACATTTATCTCTAAATTTTCTGTTTATTTACTTACTTGTCTGGACTCACAGCTAGGTGCGTCAAGTTTTTACCCTTTTCAGACAATTTTATGTATCTCTGCTTCTTCACGTTGAAATTATGGACAGCCACGACTGATCCCACGGGATACACAACTTCGTCATCAGACAAGAAGTGAACGTTATTTCTGATCCTCGTTTCCAAGCCGAGCAGCAGTTGAGGCTGAAGTAAGGCTAGATTCATTTCCAGATAGAAGTTGTTTGCTTATATATTATTTTAGTGCAAAGTGACATGTACCTAACGTAGCAACGTCAGATTTTCTTCCACGTTGTTTGTTCGATAATACATATCGGTTGCTTGGAAATGATCTACAGGGTGTCATATAAGTACGCTGAAATATCTGAGATATCTAAATGGCGTATCCCTGAGACAATTTTGGGATAAGAAATCTACAGGGTGCAGGCCAAGAGCTAGAATCGAATTTTAGGTATGGCATCAAACATAAGATACAGATTTTAGGGTCCTAGTCTAAGAAATGAAATGGATCTCTTTCTGTTAGAGAACCAAAGAAGACAATTATGAAAAAAATATAGGTGTGACCCAACAACACGGGATCTTGCTAGTACATCCCGCTAAGGCCCTACAAATGTCCCAATGTTTCAGACTTAGGTACGATATCCCAGAGATGTTTCTCTTGGGACATCCATCAGATGTTTTCATTGGATGTTCTAGAAACATTCCATTTGATCTTTTTTTTATAAACAATATCATGGTTCCATATTTGCTAATGATGATTGACATGATTGAACAGTTCAAACAATTGTGACATTTGAAATATTGGAAAGTTGGTAAAAAATGGAAATCAAAACTGTATTCGTACTCATATACTTATACCTATACCAAAGCCGGCTAATTTCATCGATAACAAATTGAAATAATTATACTAAATATTCCTCAATAAGATTACCAAAGTACCTGCTTAACTTCATGAACCATGTAATAAACGACAAAATTTAAATATATCTCTTCAGCATATTCATTGCTGAATTTATTTGTTATACCAGCCGATAGATGGCGGTACAACTACGTTGCTAAGAGTTACTAACAGCCGTCGGCCGAGCGCCAACAAATATGAGCCTCAAACAACTGTTATCATCTTCCATTGGTTATTGCACTGCACCGAACTTATATATTTTCGGATTCGGATTGTTACCTTATATCTGCAAATAGGTCGGCCATTCTCAGGATTTCAGAATGAAAATAATTCATAACGTGTCATCCATCACTGTCATCAAATAAAAAACATCCTAAAAGTTTCTTCAAGATGTTCCATATCAAGTACCCTGAATGTCTCTGGTACATCTCGTATCATCCCACAAACATTCTGATGGGATGTTTATTAGACATCGCAGATGCTGACACGGGTGTTGCCAGCAACACCCCAAGAATGTCCCAAGGAAAATAGGGATTTTCCAGAGATGTTCCTATCATCCCATATGGATGTTTCTACAACGTCTTACGGATGTTATTGTGTTATTAGGGGAATAATATTAGCATTTTGCTAATTTTGCACTTATCATGCGCTGGGTTTTTTCCGAGAATATTTTTTGGTACTTTCGTATTTTTGTCTGAAAAACACGAATTTGATAATGAAAGTGTGAACAAAAACCATTATTTATTAATAATATATTTCACTATAAGGTTACAAACTTCACCTCCTTTTCCGCCTTTCTTTTGGATCGAATTCAAAACAATTTGCCTTCTTTTCATCATGAGACTATTTATACAAGGTGATTCTAAAATAGGTGGTCAAACTTTGGGAGCATATAGAGTGGGTGAAATAGTTACGAAAACCTCAGTAACCTTTTTTTCTGAAGTGACCCCAAAGAAAGATACAGCCCCTCAAAGGGGGGCCTCGGAGAATGATTTCGTATCATTATCTCCAACACCTTGTATAATGAAAATCTGAAATTTTGTCCATCCACTTACTATTCAGTGCCGGTTCGAATGGAGTTGAAATCAGCTCAAAATTAAATACAGGGGTGTGTCAAAATAGGGAAGTAGGGGGTAAAAATAACCCCAACTTTTTTGTTCATCGCAATTTCAGTTTTTTGACATGAAATTATGAAATCTCAGGGCTACTTACATAGAAAAGGTACTCTTGTTGCATCTCGATAAAATGAACTATTAGCGAATAAAATTTATTTTAAAGAAAAAAGGCCAGTAACGTGTATGGTGGTGGATTATGGAATTAAGCCGTGCAGATCGGTACCATTTGGTGGTTCTTCACATTCCTACTGTGATACTGATGTGAAAAACTGTGCATTATCCACAGATGAAGGATCTATCAAGAAAAAATTAGAGAATTATGGATAGCAGCCATCAAGAGAAAGGATTAACAACAGAATTATAATAAACCAAAGGATATGTAGCAGACACTATTTCCATAACAGGTAGCAGAGAAAAAGGATTTTGATTTAATTTATTATGTACCTACCTACTCTAGAACTGATGAATATAGTGTTTCATGCAATTGAAAACTCGTAACTTTTTTTATTTTGATAAAGAAAACCAATAAATAAAATACTCATTACATTCGATGGCCCTACATCGTTTGGAAACATTATAATAGATAGATAGATAGATAAATAGATAGATAATTTATTCATCATTAAAGTTTTTACACAAAGTGGTACAGAAACTTATCAGACTAGTCAAACGGGAAATTAGACTTTACACAAGTCATGCTGAGGACAAAATATTTGAAAGAGAAAAATGAATAAATTCACACATTTAAGGAATACATTTACAATTCGGACAGTAATATTACATCATTACATTCAATCAGTTTCGATAAAATGCTATACAAGTCCTGAAAAGGAAAAAAAGAATGTTAACAGATTTTTAAAATACATTCACAATACATTCACCGTTATTATTTATATCTAATCTCACTTTACTAAATACTAACATTCTAAAAATTCTTCCATAGAGTAAAAAGCCATAGCACTTAAGTAGTTGAATAGTTTTAATTTAAATTCATTGAAATTGGTGATATTACCAAGAATACTAATCACACGGTTATAACAGATTACACCTTGATAAGTGTGTGAATTTTGTGCCACACCAAGTCCTGAGAATGGCACGCGGTGATCACCTCTTCGACGGGTATCATAATTATGAATCATATTGTTTCGTATAAAATTTGATTCTTCTTTCTTCATATTTAGTGATAATGAAAATATGAATAAACTTGGTAGAGTGAGGAGCGATTTGTCGACAGCTTTCTCGAGGGTGCGCACCCACCAGGCCGTTACCACCGATACAACAAGGCCTGCATGATCCGTGGGTGACGTCACTTAGTGAGGCCTAACCAGCGATTCGAAACGACAAGCGCTTAAAGCGCTATAAGGCGACCGCGTATTTCGATTTTAGTTTCAGATCATCATTGAGCCGATTTTGCTGTTTTTTGAAGGGCTTCTGGTTAAAAAAGGATGCCAGTCGTCAACTGAGACCTTCTTCGCACCCCATTCGATTATTATGGAAAAACGAAGTTTTAAAGCAAAAACCAGGATAAAACACAAATATCCACCTACAGCAACCCATTCGAATTAAATATATTGGCAAAAATTGTGGTGAAGGTAAACTTCACACCTACTTATACAGGGCCCGCAGAACATAAACTTATCGTGAGATTGATCGAAAGAAAATTGTGGAAAATGTATTTTATTTTGATTGACATGCCGTTTGTTACAATTACCTATATTTATCTTGGAGAATTCCTATTACCTGAAAAAATAACCAGTGAGTGTTTTTAATTTTCTGTTGTTGGATTTTTCCCCCAAGTGGATCGTTACACTTGAAACTGTAATTTTTAGGGTGAAACTGCATTTATCATGCGATATTTTTTTTTTTTGAAATTTTTTTTCGGTACCTACTCACGTATTTTTGTCTGATAAACCGAATTTTATAATGAAAATGTGGACAAACCACTATTTATTGAGATATTTCAAGAAAAAGCTCGCAATTTCGCCTTCTTTCTCCCCTTGTGTTGGGGGCATTTGAAGCTACTTGCTCTCATTTTGTCATTGGACACTTTATATACTCATGATGTGTACTTCGATGGCACATTTTTATATAGAAAATTCAACAGGAAATATGATTTTTATGACGAGTTTTTCATATTTGGTGAACAAGCATTCCAGATGACGACCATTTAATCAATAGTCAATCAAAATACGAGATGTCAAATGTCAATAGCTTGCTTTCGAATGACATTACACACGCCATTATTTTGAATGATATTCTTCCTTCTTTTCACTGAATATGAATTAATCTCGAGAAAATCATATTTATAGTTGAATTATATATAAATTGTCCAATATGATGAAGAAAGAAGGGAAATTTGTTCTAAATGCCATCCAGAAGACAGGTGAAAAAGAAGGTGAAATTTGGAACTTTTTAGTCAAATATCTTCATGATAAATATCATGATAAATGCAGTTTTACCTTTTTAAGTAGAGTGTTTGTAGTTCATGTTAATATGATAGTTGCAATTTGATCATTGGAATGAATTCTGCATTCATTGCCACGAGGCAAAAGACCGTTTTCAGAGTGGAATTTGAGGATGAGAATTAAAAATGCCCGTTTATTATGAACATTCAAGAAAATTTCCTCGAATTCAGAGATTATTTTGTTGACTATAATATACGAACTGCACAATCAAAGCTTTTCTATTTTTCTTCTACTTATACTTTTTATGAGAGAGTAATTGTCTTCTATTATTAATTCATCATTATAAATTAAGCTCTGTTCACTACTGAACTTAGATGGAGTAAAATCCTCGCGGTGAATTGCATATACCCACATATTCGATAGCTCCTCGTCCAACGGGAAACTAAAAGCATGAACTTTTCAACCACCCACATAATTCCCCCGACAAAAGGGAACACAACACTTGAAAAACATTGTTATTTCGCCGATCACAACACAAAATATTTCACAAAACAGTAATTTTTCCGCCAATTATTTTGATGAATAAACAACAAAAGAATTCGGGACCGTTTCAAAAACATACGTGAATCACCGATGAATCAACACGAACTGACGCGTTAGTCGACAAGCGATAAAATGAAACTCTGGCTCTATTGGTGACGTCACGAGCTGTTTACGTAAGAGTCTGCTGGCCTTGTTGTATGGGTGGTAACGACCAGGCACCTGATTATTTTTTCTGCATTATAAAAACCTTATGGGCATGACTTGAGTTTCCCCAAAAAATCAGACCATAAGTTACGATGGATTGCACTAACCCATGATGAGCAAGTTTGAGCACATTCAGAGAAACTGAATTCCTCTGATAACAAAAGAAACACTTTTCAATAAAAACAAAATTTATTTC